ACGAGCAAAAAGAATTTTGTCCCAAATCTTTCTTACTGTAGCACCACAACATCCAGAAAAAAGGTAGCTTCCCATACCCTCCACCAACCCGGGGATCCGACAATCTTCTCTTGCTTTGATTCCTTAAACCTTTGTTCTGTAGATTCAATTATAGCATTTATTCTCTCTGCGCCACAAGTGTTTATCACCTCTGACAATGCCCCAGAAGCTCACCAACTTTGAATATTATCCTCCTCATCAGCAAGGAATGGATTAACATTCATCAACCATGTGTGAACCTGGTGTTATTTGCAGAAAAGCAATGACACAATACGCCAACTCCTCCAGATTATGAACAATTACCTTTACAAACCTCTTGCTATACAAAATAGTCAACCTGAGCTCAACTAGGCTTTCTGATAGCATTTTTTGTTTGCAGCTATGAAAAAAAGCACCAGAGTGCAAAAGGTCCCTTGATGAATGATTATTCATCAGATTATGAGTTAAATCATTATAAGATCTTCCAACATGTGTGTTAAGAATCATCAAGTACTCAGAGTTTGTATTCTCTTTCCTCCGCCAACTTTCCTTAGAGATTTCAGTCACTTCCCACGCAACATGTTGATCAACCAATGAAATAATGCCAGTCTTGACTCTGTATCCTTTTGGAGACATTGATTCATTTCTGTTTGTAATGAGCTACCAGCATCCCTTGCATCATTCTGGGTTGAAAAGTTTAAAAAACACTAGAGCAGTAGAGTCGTTGAAGACTGTCTCAATTGTTGTGTTTCTAAGCTGAAACCTGGCCCACTGGACACCCTTTACCTTGGATATCATCCATCTTCTATGCCGCTTGATAGTGCTGAGGTTCTTTTGAGGTATATTTCCACACACTGCGCTCATACTTTCACTAGTTTTTCCCCTTTCAGATTCAAAAGCGGAACTGCCAGGCCACTTAAGTAGGTTCTGTTTCTCGTAGTCTTCATCATAGGATGAATAGGTAGATGGGGCTTCTTCAGTGCTTCCTTCAAATGTGGAAGCACTATGTGGAACTGTTCTATGCAATCAGTACCTGTTGCAAACTTGCATCCAAACCATTTCTATGGAGAAAACCATTCCTCTTGTTAGCTTCGGACAACTCAGCATTAAGCCAAGCATTTTTATTCACATATTCCACAGCAGAAACAGAGGGATGAATTCCAATCCAATCAAATTACAACCATTCAGAACTATGGTCTGATTGGCGTGTAAACCATTTTTCTAACAGCCCAATACACAAGGACTCATGAAACCTCTTTGCATCCTTGACATGATCTGCGTCCAGCTTTATTAGCCCAAGTGAGGAGATAGAAGCCTTAAGACTAAAAAAACGAAAGTGAGAACCTTAGACGGGAAGGAAGAGAGTATTATTTACTACAATATTCATCTATATAATCTTTTATCTCAATTATATGCATAGTTGCTTTGGCTTCTAAATAAGACTAAAAGAAGAGTCCCGAATGTAAATAGGACCCGACACTTTTTTAACTCTAAATAGGACTTATTTGAACGAAAGGGACAAAACTACCCTTACACAATGCCGCTGCTAAAAATCCACTCCATCACGCCTTTGCCTTTGGCCGACGCAAGCCATCACTAATGTGGCCGCAGACTAGATTCATCCTCCTATTCGTCTAGAGCGTCAATCTAAACGTCCGAGCATCCTTGACCATCCTTGTGAGAAGCTCTCGATGTCTAGTCGGCCATTTATGGCAGAAAGCCTTTGCCCTGCCAAACCTAATATCGCAAATAAATATTGGAGCTCAGAACCTACATAGCATTCAAACTTGAGAGCAATATCCTAGATGAATCAATCTGATCCAATTTCAACCAAACTGGCTTGATTAGTTGCCAAATCTGAGAATCCATTTGATCCAATTTCAACGAACTCGGTTTGATTCATAGCCAAATCTGAGTTTGAGATTTGGATCTCCAGAATCTAGTTAGGGTATAGGCGATCCTGACCTTATTTGAGGTTTTCGTTCCTTGTCCAACGCAGGTCTATATCATGAAAAAAAGGATTCAATAGCTGCCATTTTATACCTTCGTCTACTTCTATATGCTCCGATCCCCTCTTTTATCTACTTGTGCTGCTATAGTGCTATGCGTAGCTTTTTGTTGCTGTTTTAATTTTCAATTTCTTAATTATTGATTTTACTCTTCTTCTTTTTTTGAAAGGATTGATTTTACTCTTCTATTTTGTTGCTGTTTTACTTTTCCTTTCATAAACTTTAATCGACTTGTGTTGCCAGTACTATTTATTTTGCAGATTTATTAGTTTTTCAAATTAATTTTCTGGATAAGTAAAAAATTAATTTTCTGGAAAGTATTTCTTAGTCATTGTCATATTCATATTACAATGTCAATATTGCAATGTTATATTACAATTCTACATGACCATATCATAATATTTCAATGTCATAAACAAAAACAATGTCATTTCTTCACAATGTCACATTGTCATTACCGCGATGCAACAATGTCATATCCCAATATTATAATTATAATGTCATTAACTAAAACAATGTCGCTAAATGTTAATATCGCAATGTCGTAATGTTGTTACATAATGTCACAATGTCACGTGATAATGTAACAAAATCTATTATGACAATGTTAATTTTATAAAAAAAAGTCACAATGTCAAAAAATTCTATGTGAATGTCAATGACAATGTCATAAGAATGTCATAAAAATGTCATAAAAATGTCAATGATAATGTTATAAGAATGTCAATGACAATGTCATAAGAATGTCAATCATCATTATGAAATATAATATCACTGCAGTGCCACAATAATTAAAATAAATTACAAAAATTAGCAAAATAAATTTCATTAAAATATTGTAAACATTATTAAGTACGAAGATGTAGGAAATAGTGTTGAAAGCCTATACTCTTTGATAGCAGAAAACCTCATCGGCATCAAATTCAAAATCAATTAGTTTAAAATTAAATCAAAACAATTAAAAATGAGAAAGGAGAGGCAAAATTGAATCTATGAAAGCCTACGCTCTTTGCAGGAAGCAACTTTTACTGATTTCATTAGGAATTATATCTTGATATTGTATGTTCGAATTGGCCATTGTTTACTAATTTCATAGTCCTTCACCGCAATAAGCATTTCCGGCGACCTTCACCGCTTGCAGCGGCGGTCTCTATCTCCGGTGACCTTCAATCCTTCATCACTTGCAAATTGCAATGGCGGCCTCTGGTCGACGAAGGAAGAGCGAGCAATTTAAAAGCATAAAGTCAAAATGAAACAAGGCTAAATCTAGAAAGAATAGAAAATTCTACTCCCAAGAGATTACTAAAGATTTTAAGATGAATCACATATTCCCATTCGGTGATGCCCTAGCCTTTATTTCACCAAGAGAGGAATTGATGAAGTCCAAAGGGGACATGGTTGGCCAGCGTTCTTGTGGAAGCTAAGTGGAGCGGACGGCAAACAACAACAACAACAACATCCAAGCCTTAGTCCCAAAAGATATTGGGGTCGGCTAACATGAATCGATACATGATATCACAACCAAAAGGAAAAGAAGGAATAAAGATAAAAAGATAAGCTATTATGAAAAGATAATATAAAAAAGATGAATATATATAAAAATGATAAAATAAAAAGGCTGCAAATAATGCTTATATATATATAAGGATAAAAAAACTAGGAAAAAAAAAGATGAGGGAAAAAGATTATCAAGATCACTCCTTCACGTGAATACCCACCCTCCACTTAGTTCTCTCCAAAGTCATGCCCTCATCCAACCCCAGAAGAAGCATATCACTTCGAACTCCCCTAACCCACGTCTGTTTGGGTCTTCCTCTCCCTCTCTTCCCTGCCTCTTCTCCACACATCTCAACTCGCCTAACAGGTGCATCACTCGGTCTTCTACGCACATGACCAAACCACCGTAGGCGCGACTCCCGCATCTTGTCTTCAATAGGTGCTACTCCCACCCTTTGTCTGATTGTCTCATTCCTCACGCGGTCCTTCCTAGTATGCCCACACATCCAACGCAGCATGCGCATCTCTGCCACACTCATCTTTTGAATGTGACATTGTTTCACCGCCCAACACTCTACGCCATACAGTAATGCAGGCCTAATTGATGTCCTATAAAATTTACCCTTCAGTCTAGTCGACATACCTCGGTCGCATAGAAAAAGAAGAGCGGCGAAGAAGAGTGTCCCTCAGGGGTAAACTTGGTATTGAGTAAAAATCAAAGTTCTATTTAGGTTTTAAAAAGTGGGTGATCCTATACGGGTATATAACTAAAGTTGTGGTCCTATTTAAGACAATTTCTCATTTCAAAATGCATTCTATTTTAATTTCATTCTAATTGAAAATAATTAGATATATTAACATTTTTACTTTTTATTGTCACTAATTTCATTATTAAAATCAAGCATCATTATTTCCACTAATCACGTAAGTAGTTTTTTAAAAATGATTTACTAAATTATTTGTTAACTTTTTATCTCAATTTTGTTTTTCTTTGTTTTTTATGTGCTTTCTCCTTTTTGCACCCTAAACCTTTCAAAAGTGAAAAGAGAATCTTCTGAAGCAAAATTGCACTTTTCAAGGGAACATCACTTTCTATGAAATGGATTTCATAGGAAACATTGCTCCCTATGTTTGTGTATTGGTTCAAATAATATAAAGTCATTCCTATGAAAAATAAGAATAAAGTTGATGCATTAGATTTGAAATCTAACGGCTTAAAATATGCTAACTGTGCTGTCATTTCGATAAAAAATGATGTAGACTTTGTTAAATGAACGCTGCTCTTCTGCTACCACAAAAAAAGTGCATCTGCATCAAACCCATCCAAAAGTGTACTCATTCGCATTTTTCATGCAAAACACTCATTTATTTGAACCACGCGCTATATGCATATTTATTTGTTTATATTTATGTGTGTATAATTAGAGGTGTTCTACAAACTCAATCTATGCTCAATTGCTCACTCAAAGCCCATACCTGAATCATTTCAAGTTTATCAAGAGCACTTTGCAAGGGTGGAGTCATAACTCCATATTTCTGAAGTAGCATTCTTGCACCGTCTTTATCACCTCTTGCTTGTATTGTAAGGATTTCCCTACTCAGGCTTTCAACAGCACTCTCAACCTTCCACACCATAGTAGAATTAGCAATTTGTTTCAACCCACAATAGATGCACTACAAATTAGTAAAGGAGTACATACATGTATTTTACCTTATCAAAGTCAACGGAGAAGGTAGCCCCATCAGGTTGTAAAACAAACGCACCTTTCTCAAACATATAGTTGAACTGAAGCGCTTGTCCTTTTCTGCTAGTAGTATTTCAAAATTAATCACAGCATTACTAGTAGTAAATTCCACAACAGTTATGATAATGATCACATAATGGCTGCTTAATATACCCATGAGCTTCCTCTAACCCAAAGCGAACTGAACGGAAGCATCCAGCAAGAAATGAGACATACATTGATCTCACTAGGCTCTTTGGAAGCAAACCCTGCCCCGCATATAGAAACACTACATAAGATCCTTCCTTTAAATGTATTTTTACTATATTTCCACACACATATATATAATATAATTCCTCCTCTTCTAATTAACTGCAAAACATTGCCTTTTATAGTGTTCATATACCCTACTTGGATTTTGCCTCAACGTATGAGTTGGCTATAATGAGCACTTGGTTCAACAAAAGAGACTCTCACCTTGTGACCTATAGAAGTGGAGCTAATAGTACCTTTGACGTTTTGTTTTATTTCTTTTCTTTTCTACTGCAAGCTTCGAGCTTCATAATTTTGTGACTTTTATTCACGCCAACCCTAGGTATGGGTTATGCAATTATTTTAATTATTTTTCAGTAGTGTGTTGGTGCCTATCACTGTGTCATTGAAATTTAGTGCCCTGTATAAATTTGGTGTGTTATCATCCGAAATTCCGAATATATTTTAGTGGAAGAATATAATTCATTTTTATTACTTTTGTTTTGGTTAAGTAGAACTTTATTTTAATTTTTTTACATTATTTGTATTTTTATATAAATTTGTTGATGCTTCCGCCTCATAGGCAGTGTTAAGAAATCGCCTCAAATACGCAATTTCGAACATTGATGAATTCATATACTTTACAAAGGGTAAAATGATAGGGACCCAGGTTAATTAGTGCTAATAATAATTAAAGTATAGTATAGATAGGAGCGAAGGGAGTAATAAGAAGGCAGGCAGAAAATTGGGAATTGGGCTTGGCCTTGGGAGAGAGACTTTCCTTCTCTTTCTGTTTTTCTGTTTACGTTGGTTCCCGTACTGTTTTCTGCCATTGTAATACCTTAAGGTTCTGAGACTTTCATCAATATATTACTCCCTCAGTCCCAAACTGTAAGATACATTTACTATTCACTTGGTCAACATAAATCACTCTTAATCTTTTACTTTATATAGCAAAAGTTTATGAAATTTAAATTATTTTTTGCAGGTTTTGTAGCGGTTTTAATGTAATTTCTGAATATGTAAATTTTATTTTCTAAAACTAATTTGAGTGTTGACAAGGATCAATTTGCTTTATCGTCGGTCAAACATCGTAAATCGTAAAGTATCTTACAAATTGGGATGGAGGGAGTAATAGTTTTTCTGCTGTGTGGTTAAGTTTCTATCATAAAAAGGGAATGGCATATAAAATTCACTGTTCCATCCCACTAGACAAACTTGTCATGTATCTTCATTTCGATCATTTCAACATAAAAGATATAACTCTAACTCCTTGTGGAATATTTTTTCTTAAGCAGATTCAGTGGATGATGTTAACAAGACAGTGTTTGCTAAAAAATATGAGTTTTTCGGCTGTGTCTCATTTATTACCTCATCAATTAGGAACTTTAGGGACCAAAGTCCCACAATATCAGCTTTAGCTTCTTCCATTGATGAATGCAGCTCTTGCAGCTCCTACGATAGAGAATAAAAGAAGAGATACCAAACTATCATTAGAACATTAACCTAATAACTAATAAGACTCATCAAACATCATTATGAGTCTTTAAAAAAGCTACACGGTAGGCTGTAGCTAAATGGGACTTGGCTCCTAGGCGGAGTCTGGGCAGGATTAGGCAGGACGCAGGCGGTATCAATTCAAAAAAAACAAATAATAAATCAAGAGAAAACTCACCAATCGCACTGTGGAGGTCTTCCCATTTGGGCGTTTGATGGTATGGGGCCCAATGCCATGGCAGCACTCGTGGCATATTGTGTGAGTAAAGAAAGATTCAAAGTCCACAAGCTCCCTAAGTTCCTTGCTGACACATGCATCAGCTATAGGCTGGAGGATGAGCTTAAACCTAAGCATAGATTAAGGGAAAAATGGACCGTTAAATGGAGACAGAGAGAGAGGGGGGGGGGGGGGGGTGAGAGAGAGAGACTTTACTTTGCCTCTGAAACATTCTTAAGCAGGACCATTGATGTTCCTCTATCTTTCACAATCCTTTCATCATTTGGAAGATTGAACGCAACTGTTTGTGGGCCCTTTACATCCTACCAAACAACGGAACAACTGAGTTTAAAATAAAGGTCTCATTTCTCCATATTTTGACCTAACCGAATTATATCTGCTGTTTGAACTTATGGCAGCTTGGTAGCCACTTTTGTTAGGCTTAATAATCTTGTCAGTCGCATGTTTTACTAAACACTAGTTTTATCAGTCTCATTTCCTTTGAAGTGGTCAATAATGAAATAACAGAGTAAGGGCTGGAGTTACTTTTTGTCTCTTTTTCCTTTTTTACTTTTCTTATCAATATAATATAATTCCAGCATATATTCATAAATAAGAAGTTTTAGCATCTGCATCAATATCAGCCACTTTCAGCGAGTTCAACCAAGGCAATCTTACCAAACATGCTCTTAATCTAATACTCACCCCTGAATTGTAGAGAAGCTGGATTACCCGAATAGGAGCACATGTCACATCTTTCGACTTATAAACATTATCCATTGGAAGATTCTTTTCCAAAACCTAGATCGACATTGTCTTCACTCTTCAGCTAAACTAACAAAAATGACATCAAATTAAATAATGTGTAACGAAAAATCTAAACTGCACCTGCAAATGGTCACCAAACAGCTTTACTTGAGCTGTTGCTTTGTCATCTCGGACACCGATAAATGCCTCAAAGGTAGCCTAAGTAGAAAATGTTAAGAAAAGCATTCGTTGTTTGTTAAACAGTGTACACAAAAAAAAACAAAATTTCTATCAACAGATCAACAAAGTTCATAATTGGAACCAAGAGAAGAAATCATATTCAGTGAGAAAAATTATTGTGAATAAATAAAACCAAGGTTTCTGGCTTGGGAATATGATGAAATAAAGCAAAGTGGCTCCCTAAACTGTCTGTGCTTCTTTGTTATGAAGCAACAGTCCGTCCATGCAATTTTCGACGCGATTTTCATCATGCGTCATCCGAAAACAATCTCTTTGTGCTTTAGTACAGGGTTAAGGTTGTGTACATCCAACTCCCCTTACCCCACCGTAGGTGGGAGCCTTTGCGGCACTGGGGTAATGTTGTTGTTGTTGTAAATAAAACCAAGATTGCACATAGAGGTTACGATTGAAAGATACCTTATATCCAAAAATTGAATCCTCATAGGTTTCATATGGGCCAATAGTTACATCCAACTTTGAGTCCTACAGATGGTGAAAAGGATAATAAAAATTCCAGGTCACAGTGAAAGTCAAACAAAGATCAAGATGCCTACAAATTAATTATTAATTTCACGCGGACATAGTTCATGGACAAGTTATAAATCATGCTAGTTGGGTTGCTGGCTGGGGCCTAGCATCTAGGAGGGGACTGTGGGATGAGATGAAGCATAGGGGGGATGATTAGGCAGGATCATTTTTTGGGAGTGAGAAGTGGAGTGACTGCAAAGCACTCCATTTCACAGTTTTAAATTTTAACCTATCTATAAATACACGATTAGGTCATGTGAATCTATACAATAAGATTATGTACAGCATGAGACAATCTTCCATTTGAATTCTTAAGGGTAGTATGTATAGAAGAATCCAGATTCTAGGTGACTCGACTCTCTCTGCAGCTTGCTTGAAGGGTTCCAACAACAGAAGATGGAAAGATTCAATTCAGGAAGTTCAACAGATGACTTTTAGGAAAGGTCTCTTTTGTTCATACCAGGAGAGACGCAGCGCACTATTTGGCAGATTCACGCTCGGCCTAGACAAAAATGTTTTACAGTTCAAATGATCTTCCGATTGTGGCTAAAAGAGCACATCTGTTAGATTTATTTGGTATTCCTTCTCTCAGGTTTACCTTTTAATTTTCTTTTATTTTTTGGGTCAGGTCTAGCCCCCCCCCCCCCCACCCCCATTTTCTTGCGCCACTGGGGTAATGATGGTATGATGAATAATGTATTTTGAAAAGGTATGCCTTCTCGGGAGAGGTTTTGGTACAGTCCTCCTCTTCTATTGTATCTTTATTCATTATTAATAAAACATCGGCAAATGTTCCCTGGCATTTGCCCCACCGATGGGTGGTTTTCCGATCAGGTTTAAAAAAAATCTAGATTCTAGGATTTCAGTTACAATCATTTATCGTCTTCAGTTACAAATCTATCATCTGAGATTGATAACTGGCTTCAGCTACCCATTTCTTATATTCCAATTTCAGGTGTGTCGGTAGCTGAGACATCCCCGGTAGAGCTCATATCCCAGCTCAACAAGAATCTCCTGGTATATCTGGTTCTACCCCCACTCCTTTATATCCTCGCACCATTATTACCACTACACCCACAGTCCCACACCCAATAACCCAATCCACTGGCCGTCATCACATATCACCGCCGACCTAAACAAAAACCACCTGCCCCTTCCCCTCCCCAACCATCACCTAATGAACCTACTACCACTTCCCCAACCACCACTACCAATGCTCCCATATCCTCCTCACACCAACATCATGATTCAAATACCTCTTCACCCAAACGTACCCATCCAATGACCCTTCGCCCTCGCAAACAAGCAAATATTGTCACTTAATCACAAGTACCTCATCATATTATTTCTACTCGCGCTTCTAAAGCTTTACAAGTACCCGAATGGTGATTGGCGATGTCTGTGGAATTTGATGCCTTAACTCAATAAGGAACTTGGGAACTTGTCCCCACTCATCCTTATGAGAATGTTGCTAGTTGCAAATGGGTATATATGGTGAAATACAAGCCAAGTGGTACTCTGGAACGTTTCAAAGCTCGATTGGTGGCTAAGGGTTTTCATCAATGCTTAGGAGTTGATTACTCTGACATTTTAAGCCCGATAATTAAATTAGTCACTATTCGGGTTGTCCTGACCATTGCCCTTTCCCATGGTTGGCCGATCAATCAACTAGATGTCAACAATGCATTCCTCCATGGGAATCTCTAAGAGGAAGTTTAGATGAAACAACCTCCTAGATTCAATTTCTGATGTCAATCTCTGCATATTCTCTTCTCATCACGCCTATATCTAGGTGCTGGTGTATGTGGATGATACCATTACCATTGAGTATACACCTGTGTTGATTCATCGGACTATTGACTTGCTAGCACAAAAAAGTTCTATTAAGGATTTAGGATCCTTGCATTACTTCATAGGCGTGGAGGTCACATCACCAACTGGACTCTTTCATGATCAACACAAGTACATTACAGATTTACTGTAGGTGTTACAAATGAACGAAGTTAATCCTATATCCACAACCCTGTCAGCCTCTGCTTCTTTGACTCTCTATTTGATAGATTAGGCTCTTGTGATCAAGGTTTAAAAAGGCGGGTTCAGGTATCAAGGCAGTTTGTTCCTAAGAGGTGAGGTGTAAGTCTTGAGGTGTATTGAAGCATAAGCCTCAAAATATATAGACATATAAAACTTAAAATAATTAAACTAGTAACAAACAACTAAAGAAGTAAAGGATATATCCATATGAGTTAATACCACTAAGTGTGAAACACAAAAACATATGAGCTAATACAAGTAAGTCATTAGAATTCAAACACACAAACAGAAACATCACACAACACACAAACAGACATATCACACACAGAAACATCACACACAAACAGAAAGATGAATAGAAAGTATACGTTAAGGACTTAGGGTTTAAATGAATAAAAGACTTGTTAATGTTTAAATGAAATAAGACTTGTTAGGGTTTAGCGAGGCCACGTGTTTTAATTAATGGACTCCTATTTAAAAAGTACTCTAGGCCTTTTATTAAAGGGTTAATTATCAAAATAGGACTAAAAGCTGATCACTTTGCACAAATAGGACCAAAAAATAAACTATGTTTCATAGGACTAATTATGTGTGTGTTGGACATATATACCCTTATAGCTATTGAAATGTTTTAATTCATAATAAGATAATAAAAAATAATAAAAATTCGTAAAAAATACTAAAAAATTAATAAAAATACAACAACAACATCCAAGCCTTAGTCCCAAACGATATTGGGGTCCGAATCGATACATGATATCACCACCAAAGGAAAAGAAAGAAAATAAATATAAAAAAGATAGGCTATTATAAAAAAGAGAATATAAAAAGAGATGAGTATACATAAAAATGATAAAATAAAAAGGATAAAAATAATGTTTATATAAATAAGGATAAAAGGATAAAAAAGAACAAGAAAAAAATGAGGGGAAAAGATGTACTAAAGACCAAGTGTTGTTAGCCATTAAAGCATCATATTCAGCTTGCATTGCAGCAAGCCACGGTGGAGAGGAGAGAGCTTGCTTAACTGATTTGGGCTCAATATGAGCTAATAGTAAAGTTGGATTAAGTCTAGGTTTAACAATCCCAGATTTGGAACTTGTTTGCATAGGATGACTGTTAGGAACAGGAATAGAGGGCTGAGAAGAAGTAGAAGAGGAAGATGGTGACTCAGAGTTATGAGAAACTTGATGATCAGGTGATACTGAAGTAGGAATAGAGGGTGTATGGGTAGAAGAGTTGGAGGATGTGATAGAATGATTGACATCTGTATTAGAGGTGGAAGGTGAAGATGAATTAATGATGGTGATAGGTACAGATGGTTGCACTGGGACAATAGGATGGGAAGTTGTGGTGGTAGAAAAAAGAGTAGAGTAAGGAAACTTTGCTTCATTAAAGGTTACATCTCTGGAAATGTAGATTTTGCCACATGGTGAAAGACACTTGTATCCTTTGTGGTGAGTGGAATAGCCCAAGAAAACACACTCTTGTGAGTGGTAGTCCAGTTTATGTTTATTATAGGGACGAAGGAATGGGTAACAAGAACAACCAAACACTTTTAGAATAGAATAATCACGAACAGACCCATACAGCTTGAAATATGGACTGAGATTATCAATGGATTTGGAAGGGGTTCTATTTATGAGGTAAACTGCAGTAGCAAATGCAGTGTCCCAAAATTTCAAGGGTAGAGATGAATGAGAAATTTCAAGGATTATGTATCTATACATAATCCTTTTTCAACAATGGTGCGATGTTTTCTTTCCACAACACCATTTTGATGGTGTGTGTGAGGACAAATTACTCTATGAGTAATGCCTTTTTCATTTAGAAAATGTGTAAAGGATCTGAATTCACCCCCCCCCCCCCCCCTCCCCGTCAGATTGAATCAATTTAATAGAGACATGAAATTGATTTAACACATTGATAGAAATTTTGAAAGGCATGGAAGGCATCAGATTTCTTTTTGAGAAAGTATATCCAAGTATACCTAGTAAAGGCATCAATGAATGAGATATGATAGGAGTAACCATCAAATGAATCAAGAGGAGCTGGTCCCCACAAATCAGTGAATATTAGTTCAAAAAGAGTGTGATACACAGTAGTGAAAGGATAGGATGGAAGTCTATGAGCCTTTCCAAGACAACAAGCATTACAAAACACAACAACACTTTTATTGATGCAAGGAACATTACAGAGATGAAGTACAGATTTAAGAGCCTCAAAGTGAGGATGACCTAGCCTTAAATGCCAAACATTAGAAGATGTATTGACTTGAGAGTTATTACATTGAGACTTAGAGGAACTAGGATACACAGAATTATTAAATGAAGACTTGAGAGTGTTGGCAGATGACTTGTGAAACCCCAGTGCTAAAAAGGTATGAAACCTATAGAGACCATCAGCTCCAAGTGTTCCATACAACAGGATTTGTTTAGAAACCCGGGATTTGACAAAACACTATAAGGATGGAATTCAAAGAATGCATTATTGTCCTTGGCAAACTGACTAACACTCAGAAGATTTTTAGTGATAGCAGGAACATGTAGGATATTATTTAGATATAATGAAAGAGAAGATTGATAGGGAGAGGGAAAGGATGAAAAACCAATAGACTTAATAGCCAAACCTTGACCATTGCCCATAAAGAGCTTGTCAGTTGTAGCAATAGGCTCACTATGTTGGAAGTTTAGGGGATCAGCTGTAACATGATGTGTGGCCCCTGAATCTGGAAACCAGTTTTGAGTGTAAGGAGGTGGTCCAAGCACAGAGGAGTTTGCAGAAGCCCATGCAGCAGTAGGTGCAGTGTGGTTGGGATCTTGGTTATTAAAGGGAGAGACAGATTGCACCCCAATTGAAAGGGGATGGTGGTGGAGTAGGAAAATGAGATGGATATCTTGGTCCTGTATACTGATGAGATGATGGTAGGTGGTTTTGGTGTTGATTA